CCTTAACTTTGGGTAGGGGGGCCAGTGGCACCCTTCGAACTGTGGTCAGTGCGTATGGTTCCACGTTCTCTTTGAGGTGGATTTTGACGGGTTCAGTCTTCAGTGTGCCATGTTTCCCAAATGCTCCGCTGACCTGCTCCACTACACTCTTCTCACTAACCCTAAGGCTATTGCTGCTTTTCTGCTGAGTAGGTTGTTAACTGTGGGACCTCTGACTACATACACCTCCTCTACCTGCCGTTTTTTTTTGTAGTTAAAGGTCGTTGTGAAAAAACCCATACAATGTAGGTGTCCCGCTGGGCTAATGAGGGACTTCCGCTTTCTTTAAGTATTGTTTTTGCGTCAGCGCCCTGTAAGTGTCATGGCCTATTACTGTGGCGTCCGCCCCTGTATCTATTTTAAACAGGGTGGGCTTTCGGCCTATTTCTAGTGTCACTGTCCAGTTATATGGGTCACTCTCAGAATCTATAGACCCCAGGTAGAATGTGTCATCCTCTTGGGGTTTCTCTCTGACTTCGTTTATACTTTTTGAGTGGCACCTTTGTTCTCAATGTCCCTTTTTATGGCATCTCCTGCATACAGAATCTTGTGCGGGGCATGTTGACCTTATCTTGAGCATCTCGTATCACTCTTTTCGGCTTGATGGTGCGGACTGTGTTTTGCCTCCTTTTCTCTCCTCTCATACCTTTCTGGTTTATGTGGTCTCTGCGACGCTCTTCCTGGCTGCCATTTGTGGTGCCGCACCTCCTGAACACAGCACGAAGACTCCCCCTGCTGGTTAATTTGCAGCTCGACCTCCTCGGCTTGCCTGATCATGTGGACTGCTGTGTCTAATGTCAGTTCTTTAGAAAGATGTAGTCTTTTTGACAATTCTTTATCCCGTATGCCCACAACGAGTCTGTCCCTGATGTGCTCGCTTTTCTTCTCTCCGAACTCACACATTTCAGCCAGTTCATAAAATGCCCGGATGAAGTTCTTGACCTTTTCATCGGGTTTCTGTATACGCTGATGAAACTGGGCCCTCTCATGTATGACATTCTTTCGGGGAATAAAATAATTGTCAAACTGTTTCAAAACATGGTCAAAGTCCTTCTCAGAGTCAGCCAAGGGGAATGTAAACGACTTCATTACATTTTCCGCCTCGCTTCCCATTGCATAGACTAACGTGCTTACTTGGATTTCTCCATCCTCTTCCTTCAGCTCAATTGCTGTGCGGTAATGCAGGAATCTCTGCCGCCATGTTGGCCATTCTCCTGGCTTGTCGAAGCGGAAGTTTTGTGGTGGCTTGAAACTTGGCATTTTTTCTCCTATTCTTCTTCTCTTTTTATTTATTTATTTTTTTACTGTCATTTGGGCGTCGCATCTTGCGATCCCACTGCTGATGCCATGTCAAGTAATGAAGTACTCTCCATCTTTTTTATTACTTGGTTTTTTATTAAAATAACACACGAACAGTAACGAAGCTCTCCTCCCCCTAGCTGACATCTACTCCCAAAGATCCTCAATAATACATGACATCCCTCTCTATTGCATACTTCCTTGACACAATGTATCTCATCTATAGATTAATACATTAGAAAATACATGTTGACCATGCAGTAGGTCATTATGAATTATACAGTTGCATGAAAAAGTATGTGAACCTTTTGGAATTTTATGGTTTTCTGCATTAATTTGTCATAAAATGTGATGTGATCTTCATCTAAGTCAAGAGTATTAACAAATGTTTTTAATGTGCCTAAAATAATAGGCACAAATGGTACATAGTCTTATACTTGTATAGCGCCTTTCTATGCTTTTACAGCACACTCAAAGCGCTTTCACACATTATTCGGCCATTCACCCATTCGCACTCACAAGCACTCACACACCGGTGACATCACCGGGAGCAACTGGGGGTTTAGTGTTAAAGGCTCAATTCTATTATAAAGCCTCGTCCGGTTTTTTCAAACCAGGAACTCAGAGGGACGACTCAGACCACTTGAGTATATAAAAAATATAACCGTGCTGGTTTATTCAAAGAGTCACAGGCAAGAATTAACATTACGGGTCCAAAGATCTTCCAACCCCCAGGCTGCCCAAGCAGCCCGGAAACAGGAAAGACCCCGAACCAAGAATTGCTATACAATATTAATCATTTCTGGGCTAGCCCATACCACGCAGGGCGTCAAACCGTGACGTCACCCAATATGCCAGCTTGGCAGCTGAGCAGAGCAGTAGACCAAACATAGAAACAACAAGAAAATAATGTGTGTGGCTGTTGTTTTCGTGGTGTGTATCTAAAACAATTTGACATAACATTACACATTAAGACAAATATTATGGTCACTTTTACCGTCATAACATTTGTCCTTGACTGCAGCCTTTCTCTGCTTTAACTAACCTTGCATTTAACAGCCTGAGCAAGACATCCTGGCTACACTAACATCTTCTAATACAACAGATCTCTAATCAATATCTATCTAACTAAGAAATTACCTAACATGGACAATAGGATCAAAAGCTGTTGAATGTTGTACCTCTGTCCAGGGCGGAGCAGCCCAAGAATATAAAATGCATTGTAAAACGTGATTCCACAAGATCAAAAGAGTTCTGCTCTTTCATGTCTTTATTGAGAAGAACCATAAAAAACCTCATAGTGCTAGTGTTTTTCCACTAGTATGTGAACCCTTGAGTTAATGACCTCAAAAAAGCTAATTGGAGTCAGGTGTTAGCATACCTGGAGTCTTGTTAAGAATATTAGTTTGGGGGTGTGGACTAGAGCTACTTTGACAGATAAAAACTACTCAAACATTTGGAGTTTGTGCTGCACTAGAAGAATATGTTTATGTGAGCTATGCCTGGCCAAAAAGAGCTTTCAGAAGATCTACGATCAAGAATTGTTGAGTTACATAAATCTGGAAAGGTTACAAAGTGATTTTAAAGACTAAAAATTCACCAGTCTACAGTTAGGCAAACGATATACAGATGAAGACACTTTGTTCATCTATGTTCATGACTCTACAGTAAATAAAACACTGAACAAGCAGGGTGTCTATGGTAGGACACCACAACGGAAGCTGCTGCTTACTAAAAAGAACATTGCTGCACACCTGAAGTTTGTGGAAGAGCACATTGACACTCCACAGTGGTATGTTTTGTGGACTGATGAAACTAAGATTGAACTATTTGGAAAGAACATGCAGGTACTACATCTGGTGTAAAAAGGGCACTGCATATCATCATAAAAACATCATCCCAACATTAAAGTATGGTGGAGGAAACCTCGTGATTTGGGCCTGCTTCGCTGTATCAGGGCCTGCCCAGCTTGCAATCATGGAAGGGAAGATGAATTCCCAAGTGTATCAAAAAATGCTTCAGGATAATGTAAGGATGTCCATACATCAACTGAAACTCTGCAGAAGTTGAGTGATGCAACAGGACAATGACCCAAAACACCGGAGCAAGTCCACAACAGAATGACTAGTCAGAGTCCAGATCTCAACCCAATAGAGATGCTATGGAATGACTTGAAGAGAGCCATACACGGGAGACGTCTAAAGTATAAGACAGAGCTAAAGCAGTTCTGCAGGAATAATAGGCTGAAATTCCTCCTGAACGATGTGCAGGTCTGATCCACAGCTACAGGAAGCGCCTGGTTAAGGTTATTGCTGCCAAGGAAGGGGTCAACCAGTTATTAATTCCAAGGGTTCACTTACTTTTTCCACTACCATTTTGAATGATGAATGAGTGTCTTCAATAAAGACATGAATGATCAGATTTTTTGTGTTATTTTAGGCACATTATATTCATCGGTACGTTTGACTTAGATGAAGATCAGATCACATTTTATGACAAATTAATGCAGAAAACCATGAAATTTCAAAAGGTTCACTTACTTTTTCTCGCCACTGTAAATGCTATAATTCAAGGCTATATCCTACGAAGCCATAGGCTTCCTTATTAAACTACACTGAAATACCAGGGCTAACCTTCAAGGATTTACAAATAAGTATAGGTTTTTGCCATTGGAATTTTTTAAAAACACAGCTACACAGGCAGAATGTCAACTATTAAAACATTAAAAATGAGAAGGTGTCAGGTTTGGCGTGTACAGATGCCAAACAGAGGTTGTGGTGAACTCAATTAAATAACCAGACGAACCGAGGTAGCGACAAGTTCTTTACTAGTAGTAAACAAAACAACTAACACAAAGTCCAGGATATCAATCAGGTTGATAAGACAGTCCAGGGTCGGCGCTGGTAAACAGGTATAGCCAGGGGATCCAAACTCGAGGTCAAGGGGGACAAAATCAGAAGGTCGGTACACTGCAGGCGAACAGAATCTGGGAGGGCATAGACAAAACACGGTGGTCAAAAAACGGTAATCATAGGTCAGAAACAGTCAGGCAAGGTATAATTGCTGGAGAGTCAGAGCTGGGGTCTAGAACAATCTGGCAGCGTCCTGGTGGGAGGTCGTTGCCTAAATAGAAGTAAAAACCAGGTGCAAACAATAATTGGGATTTGGGTTTTTTTTTGTCTTTAATCCATAATCATCAAAACTGAAACAAATAAAGGCTTGAAATATTTCACTTTGTGTGTAGTGAACTAATATAACATACAAGTTTCACTTTTTGAAACAAATTATTGAAATAAATGGACTTTTCCTCGATATTCTAATTTTTTGGCACATACCTGTATGTGTGAATTCATTATGTTCTCGTTTCTATCGGTTTGTACATGTGTGTGTGTGTGTGTGTGTGTGTTCTTGAATGTTGCCTTTGTGCTTTTTATCGTGT